CAAACCCCACACACCATGCATGTTTTATTGGCCCCGGGATTTGGCCCTAATTAGGGATACGCTGAGACAAATTCGGCACTTAGGCCTTAATTTGTATTTATTCAGCCACTAGTACGTTAATTATGTCGGGGCAGAGTTGTAAGGAACGTATCACGTTTGATCGATACCGACACGCGCTATTGTTTTTTTTGTGTGTTGGCGTTCACCGCTAGAGTATTCTGAAATTCCCTTTCCTTATATTATACGTTGGTGGACACACAGCACACGTTTTGTGCACTTCTGTGGTGGATGCTTGCAACTATGATATATTTAAGCCCAAGCAAAATCCATGGCTGCAATTACTTACGTTGTGTTTTTGCACAATTAACACAATTTATACTGCATTGTATGTGCCACACTGCTGTATATTATCACATTTTAATAGTAATGGCACACTATATTTAGTTTTTTTCTCTTCCATTTATTCATAGCAGTATGTTGTACTGTGCATTTTGTTGTGCGTTAGATACACAGGTTGCCTTGTGAAAGTTATGTTTGTATAGTTGGTGGCAAATGCTTGGTCGGAACATATTTTATTTGATGTTTACAATTGGTATTTGGAAATGTTTTGTGTTCATACAAATCGCTGTGGTTGCTTGTGAGAATGACACTGCACAGTTGGAAGCGTTGCTGTGTAGAGATCATGTTTTTAAGCAGCTGCGCTTTAAAAAAAAGCGTTTTTTTTATGGCTGTCGTGTCAACTGGAAAACATGAATGTGGCCTTGTTAGACGTTGTATCTGCATCTGGGGGAGAAAGTGTTCTGCTGTCATTATGCTCATCGTTATTTACAAAGGATGATGTAGTGGTGTAATTGGTTGGCACACTGGATTTGCAAGTGGGAAGTTAACCGGTCTGATTTGATCTCCCAGCGTGGGAGGTTGAGACAATGGTGCCAATTGTTTAAATCTCCACGCCCACCAATCCCATTGCCTGTGTTCACCCAGCAGCAGTGTAAATGTGTATACCACACACGACCAGCAAGGTAGAATGTGGTGAAGTAAAGCGTGGGTACTGGCTAACCTTTTCCAAGATAGCTGGCCAGTATGGAAGAGTAGGCCAAATACCCTCTGGAGAGGCTCGCTCGAGCTCCCTTTGGCGGTGGCCATTCCATCAGCAGGGGTATGGAGCAAGCAATTATAATTATTATTCACAAACAAATGTGTACAAAGTATGTCATCTGCCACTTTTGGGGAATGTTTGCAATGCGGTGTACGATGGATGCCCAGTACACGGTTGGGATGTATTTTCTCCCTGCCATTAAGGCTCATGTCTTTTTTACATAATCATCACCCTTGCTCAATCTACTGCTGAATGAAGTCGTCTTGAATCAGCCGCCGGCGCTCGTGATTCTGCAATGTAATAATCCTGCAAGCACCTGCACACCAGCTGCTTGAATTGCCCCATCCCCTCGATGGATGTTCTTTATATCAGGAGGCGTTAGACTTCGCGTGTTAGATCTCCACAATCAATAGTACTTTACAGTGTTTGGCCCAAACGTTGGTTAAAATATTGGGGGAAATTTGGATTGCGGGCAGGACAAAGCGGATAGAGAAATGCGAGAGTGCGTGAAAAACATGTGCGCACGTGGACAGATGCCCCTTTTAGTCCTGCAGGCTGCTTGCTGTATAGTGCTGTTTGTTTCTACGAGCCCCAGCCCCAGCACACAAGGGGGTGGTTGGGGCAGGACCATGCTCAGCCATCTTTGTCTTCCCACTGTTGATGTTTACTCACTGAGCCAGGGACAATTTGTTTAGGGAGATTTGACCTAAGGGAAGTACAATTCAGGTTTGCATTCAACTTTCCATCTGGGTCACCAAGATTGTATTGCAATGTATGTGTGCACAAACCACTAGACCACAGCTACCTACTCGCACAAAGACAAAGATCCCCCATATAGCCTTTAAGTGAGGACCTATGAAGGCCGGAACAGCATACAAAAGGGTTGGTCGCCAGTACCACCCCTGGCTGCCTTTGTCTCCTCAGTTGGGGTTGTTTACACACCGTACCAGGTATTCATTTGAGGCGGAGTCGACCTAGGGGAGGCCCAGGACCGGTTCAAATAATTGTCACATGTGTTGGCCCTGACCGTGAATTTAACTCGGGCCACCGGGTTTATAGCACAGCGCACTAACCGCTACACTACAGCTCGCCACACGCACCCGCAATCACACACACAAGCACGCGTGTGTACATCACTGCCTCTACATCTAACCCTTCAGTTCATTTTAAATAAGGTTGAAAGTGCTGTGTTGCCTTTCATTGCTTTTTTTTTTCTCCTTGCACTAATCTCCCAGAGTGCATCACTTTGATGCGCATGCACAGTGGGCATGCTTTGAATTCATTTCCATTCATTGTGTCCTCAGAAGGGAATCCTAACTAAGCACAGGTATGTGACCAATACGTGGGTACAATTCAGAGAGGAATGCCAAGGGCCATGAGACCCAGGCCCACCAGTCAATATCGCAACCGCTCTTAAGCCGAGTCCAGCAGGAAAACAAAACAACAGCGCAAATATATTCAATTTTATCACCGGGTCACTGTATATTTCAGGGATGAGAGGACAGGTTGTTAACCAAGCCGCAGACACTCTGTTACAAGTTCACTTGCGCAGTCCGTATGTGTTCTTGACACCTGTGGCTCTGAATACATATTCGCTTCACCTGGGATTTGTTTGAACAAACACAATGCCGCGTTCGGACGGTCGGGATGGAGGGGCTGGGAGGAGGAGCTGCATGTGGAGCCGGCGTATCCCGTGGTCACTCTCTTGGCTCTTTTGGTGAACTGCAAAGTTGAATCAAGATAGCGCACCACTCACAATGTATACAACGTAATTCCGCGCCTGCTGGTGAATTACGATTGTCGAATGCTGAAATGGTAAAGGCGCAGCTCGGCGATGTCTCGCATCACGCCACTGCTGGCGGAAGGAGGCCTGCTCGAGGGGTAGCTCTAGAGGATATCGTGACCTGTTCTTTCAAGCTGGCCCAGGTGTTTTGGAAGATGTGGCCTACCCACAATTTACTCCACCACACTCGACCTTGCCCACTGGTTGACTGTTAATCCTGCATAATGCACATGCATATGTAGTACTAATCACATTCCTGCATTTCTCATAAATATGCTAAATTCCTCTTGATTTGCAAATTCCTTTGTCAAGGCGCCCAGCTTATATATATTCTCCAAGCTCGTGTGCTGTTTCATTCAGACTCTGTCGCCTCGACGGACCTGGTTTTCACCTGAGGACGGCTGCTTGCGTTGTGGCCGAAACGTCGTGATAATTATTTTATTGTGTTTTATTTTTATTATTTTATTACTTCCCTTCTACGTGACTTTACCGAAAGAACCAAGAAGATGTTGTGCACTCATTTGCACTGCTGGGTGGACAGGCAGTGCGATGCTGGGCATCAAAAAAACCCTTGCCCCATTGCTTTAACTGTCACGTTAGGAGATGGAACCAGCGGCGACCTCTGGATCGTCAATCCTGCTTGCTAACCGTTGCACCGCAACAGCACCACTGAGCTTGGGGTTAGTACCAAGATGAACACGTGTGCACGTAACAGGATGACACTTTATCCATAGACAAATGCTCCTTCCAGATCAATAATTCCCACTCTGTGTGTGTGTTTAAACTAGACGAACCTTCGATGGGTTTCAGCCTCAGCCGGGTGTGGACTGTCATACGAATGCTACTCGGTGACCCATTGCGGGCAAGAGCCATTTCCAAGAATACCATTTCATGAACCTTTCGTTAAGATACAAATTGTGTTGTCATTAATGAGATTGCGTCGAACACGTTATTTTCATTTTGCAATTACTCGTTGATGAAATAAGGTTACATTTATTTCAATGTTGTCCCTAAAACATGTTCTGTCGGCAAGGTAATTTGCACACAGCGTGCGCGAACATAAAGCAAGCGAACTGCCGATCTTTTTGGCCATTCAGTGCACGGCTATGACAAAGTAAAAAATGTATGAGTGTCTTGCATTAAAAGTTTGTACTCTAATGCATGCATTAGATGCATGCACGGACCATACAGTTCAAAGTTTCTTGCTTTGGCTTAACATCTCTTTTGGGCATCCTTGCACGGCTTGAAATGCTACCTGCATACAAGGTAATACTTATGTGCCTCTTACCCCTCCTCCACCAATGTAGTTGACCAGTTTTTGTTCATATTACAGCGGACACATTCACGAGACGTGCATGGGGCTCTGTTGCAAGGGGTCAGCAGACGAGGTGCCTCGTGCATTGTATCTGTACGGGTGCGCCCAGTCATAGTTGCCATGCCGTGTAGGGCAGCATTCAACTCTCCCTGTGGTCTGGAGCCAGTGGTGACAATTCCACAATTTTAGTGTGAAAGAGGCCAGTTTGCGCATAGATTTTTGTGGTGTTGAGATTTAGTTTAAAATAAATATGTGGGCACATTGCTGGCTCTGGTAGCTGTCGTGAGTGTTCACTAACAAACAGCTTTGTCATCCTTCTGCTTTTCCAAAAAAACTATTCTGTGATGGGTTTCCAGGTTGGTACCGTTTGTACCCATCCATCAGAAACCCATGATAGACTCCGCAGTAGCAGTATGGGTGGAGGTGACTGTTGTAATGCTGCGGAATCTCAGTGTGTGCCAGGTTTCATACCTGGTCACTCGTACTTTTGGCACGTGGTAGGAAACCGAGATGGCCAGAGAAACCCCACATAACGCTCAGCAATCCGCACAGATAGATTAAATCGTTAATTTCTGCACTGCCATAGCCTCCACGTCGAAGCCGACAACACCTGGTATTTGCAAGCATTATTCTGTCGGAAGTAGTAACCAGGTCAAAATCCTGTTTAGCTTCTGAGATCTGATTAGATTGGCTGCATTCAGGGTGTGCGCGTATGTTTGTACGGGCGCTAACCCGAGTTCTTATTTTTGGGGCATTGTTGAAATCGCCGTGAGTTGATGCGCTGTTATCCCCTTTTTCTTCAGGCAAATGGACACGAGGAGCATCCCGTGAGCGGCAACATGGACACTTCTGCAAAAAAGACACGGCTGGTGCAGCCACCCACACGGTAGGCAGTCGCTGCAGATTACCGGGCTTTATTTTCATCGAGAAAATGACTCCGCCTCGTGCATTCCACATACGCATGGATGGACGCGCTTAAGAAGCCAGCTTTGGGCCGAATCAAATTGTGAGCAAGTCGGACATTAAAGGACGGCCCTTTTTTATCTGGAGGAATGACGCTTCTTCGGCAGACGAGTTTAACTGCGGTGCTGTGACTCGTCATAGGGCTGATTGAATCGCCAGGTTTGGGGTATTGGCTTGGCTATTTATAAGTGATGTAGGGTTGTGTTTCTTTTTTAAGATGATGGCAAAAAGTGGTGCTGACACAGAACCAACACAGCAAATGCAGTGTATACATATGTGTCTAAATGTGATGCTGTTCTTGGTGGTGCATGTCGCCGTTGACGGTCCTAATTCAGTGATGGAAATTCCACATTACTATGGCAAGGATTAATTTCTCTACAGAATTCGGTCACTTTACACCGGAGCGGTGTAGCAGCAACTCAGGTGGTTGCTTATATGACTGACCACGTTGGAGTGGCGGACCCCGCGTCCACAGCGGCCCCAATTTGAACCCAACAATGGAAATAAAAAAAATATACACAAATGAGCTCAAGGGAAGAGGTAAAAAAAAGGCAAGAGCTGCCGTGTACGGATCTTGACACTTTTAAATATATTGCAATTGCAGGGGTTTGTGTGTACAAGGGTGGACCTTGTTTGTCCTGCCGCCTTATCATCAAGGCGAGTTTATTGGGTAAAATTGACCGATCGTAGGACATCTACCCTCCCCCTGGGAGAGACTTATCAAACGAGAGCCCCCTTCAAATTAGTACGCCCCCGTCTCGCCGCGCGCGTGGTGCTCGAGCGCGCAGCAATGTCAGTAATTAAGCAAAATAAATAACCCACTGGGTGCCACTGCAGCCAGGTGTCTCCACCAATGAGAACCCAGAGGCTAATTAAAGGGGGAGGAGGGGGAGAGCAGTTTACTTCCGGCCCCCCCCCCCATTTCAGGGTTTAATTTTGTGTAAAATTTTAATTAAAGTGGCTGTTTTACAGTTCAGAGCACGTTCTGTAGCGGCGCGCGGGTGCATGACAATCAGGTGCGTTTAAAGTTGCAGGAAGATCGTTCCCTGTGGATGCACGCGCGGGTCACAACGTGCCACGGTGACGCGCAAGTGATGATGGCGCAGACAGAGAAGACTTTGCTTTTGTTGTGTTTGTCCTCGCCCGTGTTGTTTCATTCTTAAGCGTGCGCAAGGTGCGAGCAATTGTGGGTTAACTTTGAAGCCTCTGTTTTTTTTATTTTTAAATTATTCATTCAGTGTGTTGTCTCAATGTGGTATAAACCACCTTCTCTTCACGGATTACCGTATTCACAGTTTTCATATCCCTGATAGCTTTCTCAAATGATATTTTCACGAATCAATCTTTTTTTTAAGCACAGACGCTTGTTTGTTAATTTCACACTGTACATTTTTTTATCTGAAGGAATTTGTTTTGTTCGTGGCTTAAAAACAAGGTGGTTTGTTCACCAATATATCCAACGTGAATTGACAAGAAACTTGTCTTGGAGAGGCTATGACGGTTTGTTGTGGTGACTATTATACTCATCACCAAGCACCCTTAGATGGCCAAATATCTGCAGGGTTAATGCTGCATTGATTGGTACAGTTTATTGATTTTAAAGAATAAAAAATGTCAGCAGTTTTAGTTATTTATTGACTTTTTTACGCTCACTGATTTAAAATTTATGATGGAATCAATTAAGTGTAGCCATCTGAAAAATGCATTTCAAACTAAACAGACAAATGTGTTTTTTTTTCTTCTTAACAACCTTGAAAAGCCTCTTCAAACGAGTGGGTGGCAGTGCTCATCACTGTTGGTGGCTCTAAACCAGCGGTGGAAATTCTACAATTACAGAAACAAGTGTTCATTTTTTGCAACGGTGGTACTTTTTTTTATTGACCACGGAGGGACGACGGGCTAAGTCTACCCTTGACTGGCATTTTAAATGTGAAGCCTTCCTAATGCGAGTGAAAGAAACTCCGTACCCGCAGTGCCACGTGACGGAATTACATCTCTTTTCGAGGTGGTTAAAATGTTGTGGCGAGTGCTCTTACCGAATGAGGTGGGGGGGGGGGGGTTCAGAGAGTATCGGGACTTTGACATTCTTCTGTCACCAATGTCAATGTGTTTTCGGAAACCTGTCGAAGATGAACATGCTGGAATGACATCAACGAGTGGACCCAGCTCAGCTCGGGGAACATCAATCCCCGAAGCTGACACCGATGGATAGTTGGAATGTCATAGTGCGCATTATTTTATTCCACGTGTTGCCACGAGATGACAGATGTGGCATCAAAGATGGTGGCACCTTTGCACAACTGCACATTAGAAGAGCAGCGAGCTGTTATCCCTTTGGTGTCTTTAATGGTGTAAAACTTAGTGTAATGTATCCAGTAATAAATGTGCCAACTGTGTAAATGATATATTTACAAATAGGTAGAATGGCTGCAATCGAGAAGTGCATGTTTGTGATGATGACCTAAGTGATAGGTCAGTTAACACTTCAACTCCAGCCAACGTCACCCGTGTTGAGAGGTTGGTTTTGGATGATACAAGAATAGAATTAAGTATGTATCGGTAGCCGTAGGGATATGCGTGGAAATATGTCATCCAGTAACTTCATTGAATAATTTTGATTGCAGCTGTTGGATGGACCATTGCATCCCAAAACCACGAGGGATGGCAATAGTTTCGATTTAAAGCTTTCGTGACTGCAGGGATTCATCTTCTTGGTTCTTTCGGTAAAGTCACGTAGAAGGGAAGTAATAAAATAATAAAAATAAAACATAATAAAACAATTCTCACGACGTTTCGGCCACAACGCAAGCAGCCGTCCTCAGGTGAAAACCAGGTCCGTCGAGGCGACAGAGTCTGAATGAAACAGCACACGAGCTTGTATATATGCTCCAAGCTCGTGTGCTGTTTCATTCAGACTCTGTCGCCTCGACGGACCTGGTTTTCACCTGAGGACGGCTGCTTGCGTTGTGGCCGAAACGTCGTGAGAATTGTTTTATTATGTTTTATTTTTATTATTTTATTACTTCCCTTCTACGTGACTTTACCGAAAGAACCAAGAGGATGGCAATAGCTTGGGGAGGCCAGTAGTGGATAGATCGTACTGATTGTCCAACCAGGTTCTCCTGGTTTCTCTCAATGGGCTCTATTTATGGTTTTAAAAAAGTATTGACAACCGTGAGTTGGCAGAGTGGCTCAGAGTACTCAGCTGACACGGCTGAGGTCCTGGAATCAAATTGGATTCTGAAGTGCAGTGAGTTGATGGTTTTGGCCTGTTCATCTTCTTGGTTTTTTCGGTAAAGCCACGTAGAATGGAAATAATAAAATAATAAAAATACAACATAATTAAATAATTCTCACAACGTTTCGGCCACAACGCAAGCAGGTCTGTCGAGACTCTGTCTTCCCGACAGACCTGTTCTTCACCTGAGGACGGCTGCTTGCGTTGTGGCCGAAACGTCGTGAGAATTATTTAATTATGTTTTTTTTTTATTATTTTACTATTTCCATTCTACGTTACTTTACCGAAAGAACCAAGAAGATGAATCCCTGCAGTCACGAAAGCTTTAAATCGAGGTTTTGGCCTGGTGACTAATGACTGCACACAAAAGGTAACCTTCCACATTTAATTCGGTTCTGCGCTTAATTTGGGTAAGTTAGTCTCACATGCAGAGCGGGTGGGAAAGTGCTGCCCTCTGCTGTGTGGACCAGAAGTTCACTGAAGGCATCTGAGCTCTGTGATAAACACGTTCACACTTCCCATTGGCTGTTGTCCAGGGCAATAGACTACGCTGTGGAATATCGGGATGGATATTTTGCCTGATAATGCTGGTATCACAACCAGAATAAAATTATGTGGGGGGTGTGCGAGGGGGGGGCGGCAGGGGATGAAGTATTAATAAGTTATGAATATTATCCCGAATTACAGCATTGATGATGCTGCAAACGTCATGCAAACTGTTGAAAATGGTTTCCTAAGATAACCTTTGCAATGAATTGCTTATGAAGCTATTTACAATAGTGTTCATTGCCGCGGTACAAAGTACACATGGATAGGAAGGCAAGAATATGAAATTAAAGAGAGAGAGAGAAAAAAAAACAATGCATCGGGGTCATGTTAGATTTGCTCAAATCTAAAATGTTCACAGACCTTTGACGTCACGGAATTCTAAGGCGCTGTACACCTCCCGCAACGCTCTTGCACATATATTCATTGCGTTTAATTATTTACGTGCTGCGTGTCTTCTGCCAGTTCCTCAAGTGGGATCGTACGCGGGTTTTGCTTTAATCATTGAGCGTTGAGCTGTACAGGGGGAAAAAAAACAATGGTCATGCGGTGCAACATTTATTTATTTTATTTCTTAAATATAATCCCCACCCCACACTTGTAAATGCTTTTTTTTCCTACCCTGTTCCCAAGCTTGCGCATCTGTCTTGTTGATACATTCTTATTATTTTGTTGGCAATGCCAGATTGTGTGACCAGAACATGACGCATCTCCTGAATCTGTTTGGGGTGTAGCGATGCGTCAATTCATCCATCGTAATCGATGATTACGATCTCGAAACGTGGATCAAATTGCACGTGCGTGTGTGTGTGAAGAATCGACTATTTACGATTCCTTAAAATAACAATAGAAATGATCTGCTTTCGTTGGAGTTAGGTTAAATAACAATAAACCGGACAAGTGAGATGTAAAAATAGAAAAATATTTATCTTTGTTTAATAAATGTGACCATGTTAGTCCCATATCTTTTTTTTTGCCAGGAACCTAAAGTAGCGGGATTTCTCTTTGCGAGTAATAGTAACGTCGTAGTTTTTTATATATTTACTTTTATTTCTTCTATCTGCGTGACTTTACCGCAAGAACCAAGTATAAGTAAATAGTAAGTTGGGTAACTGCAGTGTTGTAGGGGTGTGTTTTATTATTTGATTCAACTTAATTGGTGGTAAATTTTTTTTAAATCTGTCATTGGGCCATGATTTAAGTATACTATCCACTCATGTGGATGATGCCAACTCATCTTTAATGTCTACTTACAGCAGATCTCGGCAGATAACACACTCTGACCAGTCCTATCATCCACTTGACTTCCCACAAAGCGGTGCTAATTTTATCAACTCTATAGAAGTGTGAGTCAGCCCTTGCACCAGAATTGCAACCTTCATCTGGGTTTTGAACTTACGAACCTTCTGGCTGATAGTCAAGCGCTCCAACCATCGCGTCACCTGACTTTATTTCGTTTTCCATGACAGCAATATGGTGCGCTACAAATCTCGCGCGCTGTTCTCAATCTTAGGGCGTCAGGCTTGTGCGACAAACACAGCAGTAATACAGGGTGCTTTTATAATGATGACGACGACGATGAAAGAAGATGATGATACATTAGTCCCAATGTTGGCACATCACGAACAAACGCGTGTTGTATATGTGTCCCCTGCCAGGGCTGGAGACGATGATGTGAGAAGTCTCCCTGCTGCTGATAGCGAGGGCATCTGCACCATCCTGTGAGGTTGGCCTCCAAGCGCTGGGCTTCTAAGCCGCCCAACATGCAGCAGTGGGAGGGGTGCACTGCTCACTTCGTGGTCCGACACAGCACGCACAGCCGGGAGATGATATTTGAACCTTATGGCGGTACCCCGGCTCTTGCACAATGTCCGTGATGCAGTCATTAGTCTGTTGATGGTCGGCGATGCGGCAATCGACTCATCTCGACGAGCTGTACACGATGCACCACCACGGTGCGTACCGCCAGCGTTCAGGGTTTCAGCACAATCCTCGCTGCGTTTCGACATCGCGGAGTGGCACTGATTTCGGATTGACTGGTACCCCAGTCGCGGAGTTAAGTACACCCCTGAAAAAAATAGTGTCCCAGAAATAACATTTAATTGCCTCGGCCATTTTGTATCATTTGGTACCCCGGGGTACCGCCATGAGGATCAATTCACGCAGCTCGGCCGACGCATTCGTTGTCACGTGTGGTCGTGTGGTCGCGATGTCTTTTTTTAAGTAACAATTTGAAATATATGCGTGCTCACACACTTGTATATGTTTTTGTTAAACAATATCCTCACCTTGAACATGAAGGTTTTTGCTATGTGTGAGAATGCAATGCTATTAATTGTCCCTCATGCAACCAGGTACAAGCCCGTTGAGATTTTTTTTAATATATAAGGGAGAATTATGGTTATGGAGGGTCTGTTTTTATTAATCTTCATTCATCATTTGCTTAAGGTACTTTTCGTTTGGGAAGCGGTTTTAATTGTAATGAAGGGATGGTCACATGGCGTTTGACGTGGATGTAACGAACCCCTCCCCCCCCATCCCCGTTTATTCAATGGATAGTCGCGAATCGGGGTCGCCGTTAGATTCAACAATCGCTGCTTTTTTAACGTTGCCGTGAATACAATAGCTACTTGCAGCAGGAGGCGGGTCACACAAACCCATTGCGAACGACGTCTACGATAACAAATTACAACACTCGTGATTCGATGCATGCCTTGTGAGGTTAAGAATCGATGTCAACCGGTGCCTTTACGTTTAACTTCTCCCGCGTGGCATCAGACAAGTAATTCCATGCAAGCACTACTGGCCAGCTTTATTGGACGCTGCCGAGGTGTAAATGGGTCGCTCACTGGAGTTTCAAAACGAGAGGTCGCCGGTTCAATCCGCCCAGTGCACCGCAGTTGAAACTCTGGGACAAGTTTATTGAATGCCACCTCCACCCCACTCTGCCCCTGTCCGGCCAGCTGTATAAATGGGTGCTCCACAGTTAATCGATAGGCTGGCTCGCACGCGGCGGCCTAAAGCGTGGGTACTGCCACCGACTTCCAAGACGTGTATCCAGCGTAGAAGAGTGGACCGGCCTAATGCCCTGCGTAGAGGTGCTCCCTGGAGCTTCCTTCGCGTCAAGAGGCCCTTCCGTCAGGAGTGGTGTGAGCAAGACATTGCAAGGACGCACTCTTTGTTACTGGCCAGCTCCCAAGAACTGAACCACCAGACCTCGTCGCAACTGCCCGAGTGGTACTCTTCGTATTGTATGTTGAACTTCTTTTGCACCATACGTAACCGACCGTGCTTAGCGGGGGAAGGACAATAAACTCGGCTGCATAGCCATTCCAGCTGCTCGTAAACAAGGAGGTTGAAAATAAGTCCGTCCTTTGTGCTGTTTTAAAAATGTTTTGACCACAGCTTTTACATTTAGACGCCAACATTAACACTTTTTCAGTTATTTGTATTGTATAAGGTTCAAATGAAGATTGAAAAAATATCCTTCGGTATGTTTTTCAGCCATGAGGTGAAATATGATAAATCTGCCAGTCAAATTCAGCTATTGATTTATATTGCATGTGAGATTTCAGTTTTAAAACAGATTAAGCATGGTATGCAGTCGTTAATTTACAAAAGATAAATTGTCATACGGTGTTAAACTAGAACGTGTTTTAAAAATTACACTCATGCATAGGGTAATTCACTTATCTGTCAATTCCTTGTGCAGTGTTCTTGGGAAATACGACGCAGACCATCCGCGTGACAAAGACGTGTTTTGATTTTAACAGATGTATGCTCTTTGCAGCCTGTCAAAAACTGTTTTAACATGTAAATAAAATATAAAAATAATTGTCCGGGCCGTGGAAACAGTGTGTTTCAATATTGCGATTCAATTCATTGAGAGCCATTCAGAAAACTGTTGGATATCTGTAAAATCCACATCCTTAGTTACATTTTTCCCTACATATTATAAAAATAACAAGTGCTGCCAATTTCACTAATGACGTACGTCTCTTTGTATGCCGTCAAGTTGTGACGGCTTTTTTCCAGACGATTTTTTGCGAGTGCAGATATTTTCGGATTCATCTGTGGCCACAGCCCATTTTTCCGGTGGTGATCCTCGGCAACATTTGTCAACGCGTTCCAGACGCCTGCAAAACAACATCAGACGCAGAGTTTTGGGATTCGAGGCGGGAAAAAAATGCACTTTCTCTTACAGTGCCACCAATTACGCCAATTCCACAGAATTCACATCCTTCTTCCGTGGCAGCCTCCCATTTGTCACCATCTCTTGGCGTCACGTGTCGGATTAATGGCCGTCCAGATTTTAATGTGCCCCCCCCCCCCCGCTTCTGAAAGAGCAGCATTGAAGGCATCACTGCCGCACGGGCGGAACACCACTGTACAACACCGTGTGCCCTGACGGGGGGGCATGTTTACGGAATTTAATTTGGCATTTTCGATTTCATCACAGTCAGGTTCTGCGCAAACGTTTTGGAATTTGGGTTGTTTCGTCATTTTTTGAGTGCACTGTGTTTGTGTATGAGCTGTGGTGGGGTATTGGTTACCACAACGGACTGGCTATCCAGATATTGCTGGTTCTACCTCCGGACGCGGCAGTTGAAACAATGGTGCAATTATATAATTATTTCCCTTCTACGTGACTTTACCGAAAGAACCAAGAATATGAATCCCTGCAGTCACGAAAGCTTTAAATAAAAAATTAAAATGGTGCAATTTTTGGGGTTTTCAAACCCCCCTGCCTCTGTCATGCAGAAGTGGGAATATCACGACTGATGATGATGTGTTTATAAAGATGTATTGTACATCGCATTACTTGCCTGAGGAATATGGAATTGCCACCGCTGGTTCAGGACTTGCAGTGGACTTGAGCTTATTATTATTCCACAAAAAATGTCATACCTGCCCTATTGTTACTTTGAGAAATATTGCAAAATATCCATCTCTATTGTGACATAATTTCTCACATGAATAGTAATTAGTAGAATTTTTTTACCTAAATAATGGCTGTGTAACGCATGCCATGGAGTTTGCAGATACAAAAGGTGTGGAGGTCTTAAATCCACTGTTAGACATTAGAGCACACACAGCGAGCACTGCTCTCGAGCCACAAACCCACATGTGCCACTACAAGAAGGATCGCAATGATGGATGTCGCTGAGATCGTGTGTGTGTGTGTGACTCGCGGTGCAGGACATGTGCCAGTAGAGTGTAATATGGCACGTAGGTTTATGACCTATCTCTGCGGAGTTCAAGTGTTCTCTCCTTGTCTTTGTCCAATTTGTATTTTCTGTGGCCATTGCACAATCATCCCAAACAGGGCCTTTGTAAAATAACATTTGTCTTGTGGCTCAGTCTTTCGCACACACCTGCGATTCGCACGGTTGGCTACGTACGGTGCAGAATAAGTTCAACATGTGTAAACGAACAAAATATTTTACGAGTATTTGGAAATGTTTGAAAAATAAATGCCGGCAATTTAGTCATCCGAGCGTCGTCTGAAAGTAGTGAGATGGAGGGTGTCCAGGTGCAACGGAGGTGACGGCGTTGAGCTTGCACTGCTGAGATCCAGGCGGCCAACTGATGAAGCAGGGTTTTCAAGTGGAATGAGTTGTTGGATTCAACTCGGTCACGGATGAGTGCGCAAAATATTAAAATTAAATTTTTTGCGCTCCATTATGTAAATTCCAGCTGTGAGAAATAAAATATAGTTTTGGCTGTCATGCGATCAACATTGCTCTCCTGTGGAGAATGCGTGAGAAAGGTCTGCCCGCTGCTACGTGGACCAGAGGTCGCTTTAGGGGGGACCTCAGCTGTGACAGCCACTTCCGTGGGCCGCTCTCACGCGAAGGGTTGCCGCACCGCTCTTGTGAGAGTTCAGGACACGACGCCGGTAGCACGAGCGGGATCGCAGTGGTGGGAAACAAAAAATGTTGCGTTAAAAGGCGTATTTTTGAAGTGCATTGTTGGTCTCCCCCCATCGTGCGTTCGCAGGCGGAGGAGTCTTTCCCAGTCGTCTGTTCAACGTTCTAAAGATGATCGTGAGAATCTCGTTTAAACGAGGGCAAAACAAGTAAATGTTAATAGCGTGTCCATTTTAAATGCACGCCGGCGTTGGGGAGGTAATGTTACGTGAAAAAGGGTTAAGAAGCCGCGATTTCAAAACGCAAGTAATTAATTTAAACTCAAATTGCTGTGAAGTATTTAACGTGCTTCGTGCCGACTTCTACATTTTCATGTTGGCAAAGAATCATCTGTCTGCGATAAATTTAACACTTAATATGAAACTGCATACATTTAGCAGTGCACACATTAAAATGCCCGTTTTTCTATGGCAGAGCAATCTAATGTGCTAAAAATGCACTTTACTTCTCATTTTGAATGCTCATAATTATATTGCGTTTGTATGCCTCCGATTAGCATTAGTTATATAGTATTAGCGGGAGCACATTTATGCGAATTTGTCTTACGATATAGTGCATTTTACGAGAGTTCTTGCCACAGACAATTACAAACATATTTTTTTGTTACTTGCCATCGATGTTTAAGCATTATTTTATTGTAACTTGTACCAGTTGACAGTTTTACATTTTCATTGCAAAATGATTTAAATTGCACTGTCAATTTAAATGAAATATAAAGTGTAAGATATGTAATGTGTATATATAATTCTACTTAAATCAAACAGGCTTGGAAATACTTTTCCAGCAGCCACAAGATCTGGCTTTTAACTGTGTGCAATAATGTTTACCTGAAATATTAGCTGATTGTATACTTAAAAAATTCAGGTCGCGATAATAAGCAAGTAATATGTTTCTTGCTCGTCAAAATATCATTTATTTTTTTCAAAACAAAAGCTACTCTTCGTTTCGAAAAAAAAAAACACCGGCCATTGAATTTCAATTAATCATTTTCAACGTGATGATTTTCACACCTTGCGAATTTCGTGTGCATCTCGAAGCGGCGTCTCTCCGTCCACCTTAACGCCCGTCTCGGCCTCGCGATGTCATCTAAATGGCGATTGAATCCTACCGAGCACGGTCCTCTCAAACCCGGAGCGCCGCTAGCAGCAACTTAACTGAAAAACCTGTCGTAGACGCCGGGGCAAAAACAACGCGCAAAAATTAAATAAAGCGAGAGAGCCTTCACATGCCATTCTGCGCGAACGTTACACTTTCACGCTCGGCCCGAAGCATTTTCAAAGTGACGTGAGTAAAAGGCTGAGACTGCGGGGTAAGGCTGCCCTTCTTTGCCAAGCTTCGGCAGGGGAGGGGCAATCCTCCGCTCGCCTGCCTTTTATAACAGCCCTGGGGGGGTCAAATGTCCAGCGCCGGCTTTCATAATATCTTGTTAAATGTGCATCCTGGGTGTATGGCGCAGAGGTGTGACCTTTGCAAGAACGGGAGGAGGAGGAGGTGGGTGGGGGAGTTGTGGTGGAGGCGTCTGTTGGTAAGATGGGTCGTGTGTGTGTGTAACAGGCACCAAAGTCACCCGTGCGTGGAAGCGGCTCTGGGTGAGGGCTCACTCTCTACAAAGGCTGCGGCCCCTTCTGTTTGAACCAAAGGGTACCTGGCGATCAAAACGCCCTGCCACAGCTGAAAGTGTTGCGCGAAGAGGCACACTTTCAAAACAACCGGCTGTTTGTCTTTTCATCAAACGCTCGGGGCAAAAGGTCGTTGTCTGAACCGTTGTGGATCTTCTTAATTTATTATTAAAGAGATTATGAAATGTTACGCCCCTGGTTCACTCTTAATACATCCTTCATTTTTAAAAAATATTTTAATGTGTATTTATATATTCTTAGGTTTTTTCCGGTAAAGTCACGTAGGTAAAACATCAAAATTAATGCCTCCGAAACGTCGTGATTTTTGTTTTATTTTATTTTCATTAATTTTGATGTTTTACCTACGTGACTTTACCGAAAAAACCTAAGAATATGAATCCTTGCAGTCACGAAAGCTTCAAATCTAGTGTATTTATATGATTCATCCAGTCGCATGATGCATCAATGTAATATATTATTATTCATATCGATTATTTTCCAAATGCATGCATGGTTATTTGTATGCAGCCCTCAACAGGCAATGAGGTCTGGTAAAAGATTATAAAAATGTTTGCCTAGAAAGTATAACAGATTGGCTTCAAAAGAGCTGTTGCAAATCAGTAATGGATATTCCCATTTTAAATGTATTTAAAACCTTAACCTGCCTCGTGTCAAACAAGGATTACATTTTACCATATCCTCAAGTTGTAGAAGGTACATCAGGGTACGTTTTATTAATATAGTTAATGTACACGACAAACGTAATGCACACTACCAATATAAAAACAAGGTATAAAATATCCTATTTAATCCCAACAATGTGTGTGTCGGTGGTAAATGACAGAGTATAAAGATCTATATTAAACGGGAAACAATACAATCTGTGAGAGTGTGTTTGTATTTGAAATGGATGAAAAACAGCTATCTGAAGTAATTTAGACAGAATGTGCCCAATCTCTAATGCGGTTGAATCGTCAACTGACTGAAACGAGAGTCGCCACAGGAACTGCACAGCGTGCAATGCACGCAACGCGTTCGCTTTGATGAAATGTATTTATTTATTCCCGCACAGAAGATGACCAAACGCAAGAAAATTCAGCGCGACGCGAATTGCAGTCTGCGTTAAGCTCTCATTAAGTGAAAGCGTTATTTGTTTGAGCCCGTTACTTTTCTTGGTGCAATTCTGTCATCGGTGCAGGGTTTTTTTTTTTTGCAGAAACATTAATTTTTAAAATCCTGTCAATACACTTCAAACCGGTTTATATTCAATTCTGTAACTCGCCGGTAAGTGGCACCAGAGGGAGAATCTGATGCGGGTTGTGCTCTCCCACGCAGAGACAAAAGGCACGTGTCAAAGTCTGGTCCTACGTGAGCACTGCGCGCACAACTCAGCAAGCGGTGTGGTGGTGTCTGGAAGAAAAACATAAAACCACGAATCGAAATAATTGCGTTGCTTCTCATTAATAACTCACGCTGTATCGGCACGAGGCACGGTTTCTCCTCTGCCCCTACGCGGCCATCAATTGATAATCACAGTTTATATTGCCACCCTCGTGAAAAGGCAAACAACTAATTGGTAAAGTGATACCAAAAAAAGGTTAGAATTTTTCAGAATGGAAATTAAGGTTCGCGTTTGAATTGTAATGTAAAAATGGTCGAAGCATTTAGGCATTTAGGCATATCGGTGAAAGTTGCACGGCCCCCCCCCCCCCCCCGT